CGTGTAGGGGCAAAAATCTAAAAATGTTCCCCTCCAAGATCCCAGAACATCGCAGATGTAATTAAGGTTTCTAATCACCTGACTTGAAAAACTAGAGGCGATCCCGGATTATTTAGTATGCCCAAGGTAATCGTAAGGGCCCTTAAAGTCAAAAGAGGAAAGCAGAGAGCTTGAAGTGGAAGGACTCCGGAGGCTTTGAAAGTGGTAGGGGCCATGTGACAAAGAATATGGGGGTGGCGGTGGGCGCTAGAGTATGAAAAGAGATGACTTACAATGGCCCCAGAAGCTCGTGGAATCAGGTCCAGAGTAGGGGGAGGCAGCTCCATTTCCGGTTAGGTTGTAGCTGTAGCAGCTGCCTGTCAAGGTAGAGGACACAGAAGAAACCCCATCCTCACAGGCCCTGCGACAGAAGATTGAGGGGAGTTGAGGTCAAGGAGGTTCCCTGGGAGAGGTTGGTGGCTGCTGAGCTCTGTGAGAGGGTGTGACAGACAGGAAACTGCAAGGGTCAGCCTTGAGGTGGGCATAGCAAGGGGCCTGCGAGTCCAGAGAGGAATGATCGGCAACAGGAGTTGGGGAGAGAGATGAGCAGGGGTCGCTGAGGGTGGATGGAGGAGATCCAGTGGAATAGGCAGGCCGTTGTGAAGGCCCCGCATTCTGAGTGTGAACAATGAGGCCATGACGCTTGGATATTAAGGGGGTTCCTCAGGTTTTGGGCCACAAGACCAGCTGCCCAGCAGTGATTTGCCACCTGGTGTATCCCCTCCTCTCCATGGCCTTCAACACATCTACAACACAGCTGCCCAGCAGCTGCCAGAGGTGGCAGGCACTCTGACTTTGTCCCCATAATGAAGGCGGAGAAGCCAGCTCCCCTCGCCCCCCGGCCACTGGACTCCACATCTGCTGCATAAGGCGTGGGTCCACTGAGTTCCCAGAAGATCTGATCGTAGGGTCCAGGCCCTCCTGCCTCCCTTCAGCCCCCATGAGTAGGGCATAGGGCCAAGTCGGCCCACCACTCCAGCCTCACCATCTAATGGCCCCGGTTCATGCATGTCCTGGCAGACCTGGGCAGTTCGGGTGCCTGGACAGCTCTTCTGACAGATGCTGTCCCTTGACTTCTGGTCTTTGGAACCTGGTTGCTCACCACCCTCCTGGCAGAGGTACCACCCATCACTCCCCTAAACCCTTTTCTTTCTGAAGGCGATGAGTTCGATATCCCTTCGTTTATTTGTCATTACTGGCCTAGGGTAGGCGGGCCCGACTGGGGGGTGGGGATAGAGGGCATCGGGTCAGGCGGTCTCTGCTTTCTACCAGGGACCCAGGCTCTGACGCGGCAAGGAAGGTGGGCGCCAAGGCCAGGGTGTCGTCTGCGCCCCCACCCCAGTCGCGAGCCCTACTCCTGTTTCCACCCGTGTTATGGGGAGAAGGCCGCCTCCCGGGGTCGCAGTGGGCTTTAAGCCGACCGCGAGCTCCAGCTGCAGACCGCCTCCCCGCCGGTCCCCGCCGAGCATCATCTGCAGCCCCGCCGCGCGCGCACGGGGCGTGGTCCGCGGATCGACAGCGCAGGCCCCGCCCCCGCCCCGTCCCTAGGGCTACGCCGGAAGCGCGCGGCGGCCCAGAGTCCGCGCCGCCGGCTCCACGACTTTGGTTCCAACTCCGACGAGAGCCGGAAGTGCGGCCAGGAGGCAGCGGCTCATCTCCATAGGAACGCCGGAAGTGTGCTTCCATCTAGCGCTTCCGAGAGCCGCAGCAGCTGCAGACTTCGGTTCCGCCATCGTGGGGGCCCGGAAGTGCGGCCTTGGCGGTGGTAAGCCGGAGGCGGCCACAGCCCGGCTTGGTGCCTGAGGAAGAGCCAGAGGTGGGGTCGGGCTGGCATCCCCCTGCCGCAGGGCTGGCGGGGAGGCTAGCGCGTGCCGGGGTGGGGCGCCCGCGCTAGGCTTGGAGCGCACGTTGCGGATGTGAGGGGGCGCTGCAGGATGGGGGCGCGGCGCGGGCCAGGGATCGAACGCGGGCTGCTGCTGATGCAGCCGGCGTGGGTCAGTGAGGGGCTGTGGGCTCAGGGTAGGGCGCGTGCAATGGTGCAGCGTGCGGAAGAGGGTGCCCGAAGCAAGGCGTATGGCGTGGGCAAAGGCGCGGCGGCGAGCATGCGGCGCGTCCCCCGGAGGTGGGTCTAGGAGCCCCGTCTCCAGGTGGGCTTTTGTTCTGAGGCGCCAGGAAGGCCTTGCCGCATCTGGACGGAGGAATCGGATACTGTCGGGGAGCAGCGCGGGGGTGGATCGGAAAAGAAAGGGCTCAGGCCCTGCGGGTTGATGCACAGGTTTCTGCCCCATCGTCCGAGCACGGATTTGAAGTCTTTTAGATGCTGGGCGAGTAAAGACGAGAAGGGTGCTTGTGGCAGAGGCAAAGGCACTTGCAAAGACTTGGCTTATTTGAGGAATTGCCAAGTATTAATTCTTGGCAGAAGTCTCTGTGCAGAGGAGGGTCCCGTTCTGTTCGGTGTGAACAGGCTCCCTCTGGCTGTGGCGAGTGGAAGAGCCCGGGAGATGGGAGGACACGAGGCGGTTACTGCCCCGTCTGGGCCAGTGGTACCGGAGCTGTGGAGGTATGCCAAGCGGTCTGAGGGGTCAGATGTGGGGCATACAAGAGACGGAGGGATCTGGTCCCAGCAAAGGCGACCTAGGCATTAGGAGCTGGAGGGGGTGAGTCTGAGACCCCAGTAGACACTGAAGGTTAAGAGAGGCCTCACTCTGGAGCTGACCCTGTCTGAGCCAGATTAGGGGAGTGAGCGAAGGTCTCAGGGTACGTCCTGTGCCCCGACTCTGCTCCCTTACACTGTATGTGGCCTGGGTGCGGCATGAGCCAGGCATCTCATCCCTGTTCGGTAGAAGGCAAACAGGCCAAGCGAGCATGGTGCCTGCTTGACAGGTGAAGCAGCGGAGCTCAGATTCCCAGTCTCCTGAGTGGTGATGACCGCTCCTTTTCCCGATGGCGGAGGGCAGGCAATGATGGGATAAGGAGGTTACAGCTGGAAAAGAAGCATCCGGATTGCTCAGACATGCTGAACTTGAGGCCACGACTGCCCCACCTGCACTCACCCAGTCACACACGCCTGCGCAGTCCATAGAAGCCCCCTCTCTGTGCCACATCCACACCCTATAGCTCTAAGGTTTGGGGCTGTGGCAAGGGCAGACCAAAAAGAAGCCTTGAGTGGAGATAGTTTGCAGCAGTCTGGGTGGGAAGTCAACCAGTTCTGGATGCCAGTCTCAGCCCTCTTCACAGGGCTGCCCCTTGGGAGGGGGATGTGGGGAAGGGTTATGGATATTGGAGTTGCGGGGAGGGTGGGTGCGTGGGCCTAGATTGAGGAAGCTGAGCTCTGGACCCTTCCCTGGGTAGTAAGCAAGACTGGGAGGGGGGTAGATCTTTGATGTGCCCAACCCTCCCTTGCTGGGGGCTGCAGAGGTGGAGGGAGCGGCAGGAATCTTGAAGTGGGGGTGAGGGAAGTCGTGCCGAGTGGCCTGTGTGCTGGGTGGAGGACTGCGAGGGTCCTTAGGGGAGGCCTGAGGTTTGTCCTTGGGCTCTGTCCTGCGACAAGGCTGAAGGGAAGAGACGCTAAGGCAGTGGAGAGGGTCCCTGGCCGATCTTCCCCAACAACTCTCCTTCCTCTGGTGTAGATGGCGGCGGCGGAGGCGGTGCACCACATCCACCTGCAGAACTTCTCGCGTTCGCTGCTTGAGACCCTCAATGGGCAGCGGCTGGGCGGGCACTTCTGCGACGTGACCGTGCGCATCCGCGAGGCTTCACTGCGTGCGCATCGCTGCGTGCTGGCCGCCGGCTCGCCCTTCTTCCAAGACAAGTTGCTGCTGGGCCACTCCGAGATCCGCGTGCCGCCGGTGGTGCCCGCCCAGACCGTGCGCCAGCTCGTCGAGTTCCTCTACAGCGGCTCGCTGGTGGTGGCGCAGGGCGAGGCGCTGCAGGTGCTTACGGCCGCGTCCGTGCTTCGCATCCAGACGGTCATAGACGAGTGCACGCAGATCA